ATTCTAATACAGTTTTATACAAAGGTCCAGACGTTTGACACGAGAGAAAAAAACACCAGAGACGAGACTCAAGATCCTGGACCGGACCCGGGTCTGACCCGGGTCTGACCCGGACGCGGGTTCTGGGTCTGAGCGGGTTCTGGTTTCGGTTCTGGTTTCGGTTCTGTTGCATTATTATTCAGATAATTTTCTGTAGAATATTTGCAGACGGAAAGTGGAGTGTGACGTTTAAACGTCGTCAGATCCCGGTGAATCCTGAGCCTCTTTTCTCCTGTATTTTTTTTTTACAGTGTTGTCGTCATGACGATTAAAAACATTCAGATGGAACATGACAGAATGGACTTATATCAGTCTAGTTTAAAGCTGCGCTGTGTCACTTTTCTGTCTGCAGCGTCCTGTGGATGTCTGAAATGTTCCGCACTGTGGCATTTTGAGTCTTACACGTCAGATCAGACTGAACGATCCTGCGGTTTCCACGACGACTTCTCTAACGGAAGATTATTAGTTTCATCAGATTTAGAATTTTAAACACCGTGGAATTTCTCACTTTGAATTTTTTAACACGTTTGAATTATTTTTGTATCGAATTTTAGTCTGAAATTTTAAATGACACTATTCATTTTTTTTTTCTAGGCAGCGGTCGGGGTCAGGGATCCCGGCAACTTAGTCCAGGGACACAGAACCTGGCTGTAGGGACGTGGAACCTCACCTCACTGGGGGGAAGGAGCCTGAGCTTGTGCGGGAGGTTGAGAGGTACCGGCTGGATACAGTCGGCCTCACCTCCAGCACAGTTTGGGCTCTGGTACCCAACCTCTCGAGAGGGGTTGGACCCTGGTTGCCTGCGGGGAGCGGCGGCGAGCTGGTGTGGGGGTGTGTGGGGGGGGCTGGTGGGGGCTGGTGTGGGGCTGGTGTGGGGGGGTGTGGGGCTGGTGTGGGCTGGGGTGGGGTGGTGTGGGGGGGGGGCTGGTGTGGGCTTATTGCCCCACAGCTCAGTCGCTGTGTGTTGGAGTTCACCCCAGTGAACGAGAGGGTCGCGTCCCTGCGGCTTCGGGTCGGGGACAGGTCTCTCACTGTGGTGTCGGCCTACGGGCCGAACAGCAGTGCTGAGTACTCGAGTACCCGGCCTTCTTGGAGTCCCTGGGAGGGGTACTGGACAGTGCACCGACCGGGGACTCCGTTGTTCTACTGGGGGATTTCAACGCCCACGTGGGCAACGACAGTGACACTTGGAGAGGGGTGATTGGGAGGAACGGCCTCCCTGATCTGAACCCGAGTGGTGTTTTGTTATTGGACTTCTGTGCTAGTCACAGTTTGTACATAACGAACACCATGTTCCAGCACAAGGTCCATAAGTGCACGTGGCACCAGGACACCCTAGGCCGGAGGTCGATGATCGACTTTGTAGTCGTGTCATCTGATCTCCGGCCGCGTGTCTTGGACACTCGGGTGAAGAGAGGGGCTGAGCTGTCAACTGATCACCACCTGGTTGTGAGTTGGGTTCGCTGGCGGAGGAGGAAGCCGGAAAGACCTGGCAGGCCCAAGCGTGTAGTGAGGGTCTGTTGGGAACGTCTGGCGGAGCCTCTGTCAGAGTGACTTTCAACTCGCACCTCCGGGAGGACTTCTCCCGGATTCCGGGGGAGGTTGGAGATATGGAGTCCGAGTGGCTCTGTTCTCCACTTCCATTGTCAATGCAGCTGCTCGGAGCTGTGGGCGTAAGGTCTGTGGTGCCTGTCGCGGCGGCAACCCCAGAACCCGGTGGTGGACACCGGAAGTAAGGGATGCTGTCAAGCTGAAGAAGGAGTCCTATCGGGTCTTTTTGGCTCGGGGGACTCCTGAAGCAGCTGACGGGTACCGGTGGGCCAAGCGTGCTGCTGCCCGTGCGGATGTGGAGGCAAAAACTCGGAGCTGGGAGGAGTTCGGGGAGGCCATGGAGAAGGACTATCGGACGGCCTCAAAGAGATTCTGGCAAACCGTCCGGCGCCTCAGGAGGGGAAAGCAGTTCTTCACCAACACCGTTTACAGTGCGGGGGGAGAGCTGCTGACCTCGACTGGGGATGTAGTCGGACGGTGGAAGGAATACTTTGAGGATCTCCTCAATCCCACCGTCACGTCCTCCTCCGAGGAGAGGCCGAGGCTGGGGACTCAGTGGTGGACTCATCCATCACCCAGGCTGAAGTCACTGAGGTGGTTAAAGCTCCTTGGTGGCAAGGCTCCGGGGGTGGATGAGATCCGTCCTGAGTATCTTAAGTCTCTGGATGTTGTGGGTCTTGGCTGACACGCCTCTTCAACATCGCGTGGCGGTCGGGGACAGTACCTCTGGACTGGCAAACCGGGGTGGTGGTCCCTCTGTATAAGAAGGGGGACCGAAGGGTGTGTTCCAATTACAGGGGAATCACACTCCTCAGCCTCCCCGGTCTATGCCAGGGACTGGAGAGGAGAATCCGCCCGATAGTCGAACCTCGGATTCAGGAGGAGCAGTGTGGTTTTGGTCCTGGCCGTGGAACACTGGACCAGCTCTACACTCTCCATCGGTGCTCGAGGTTCATGGGAGTTTGCCCAACCAGTCCACATGTGTTTTGTGGACTTGGAGAAGGCATTCGACCGTGTCCCTCGTGGTGTCCTGTGGGGGGGCTCTGGGAGTATGGGGTCCGGTCCCTGTATGACCGGAGCAGGAGCTGTGTTCATTGCCGGCAGTAAGTCAGACCTGTTCCCGGTGCATGTTGGACTCCGCCAGGGCTGCACCTGTCACCGGTTCTGTTCATTGTTTTTATGGACAGAATTTCTAGGTGCAGTCAGGGGCCGGAGGGGGTCCAGGTTTGGGGACCACAGGATTTCATCTCTGCTGTTTGTGGATGATGTTGTTCTGTTGGCTTCATCGAGTCAGGACCTGCAGCACTGGAGCGGTTTGACCCGAGTGTGAAGCTGCTGGGATGAAGATCAGCTCTTCTAAGTCTGAGGCCATGGTTCTCGACCGGAAAAAGGCGTCTCTCCCTCTCCGGGTGGTGGGGAGTCTTTGCCTCAAGTGGAGGAGTTCAAGTATCTCGGGGTCTTGTTCTTGAGTGAGGGGAGGATGGAACGTGAGATTGACAGGTGGACAGGTGCAGCTTCTGCAGTGATGCGGTCGCTGTATCGTTGTGGTGAAGAGGAGCTGAGTCGAAAGGCGAAGCTCTCGATTTACTGGTCAGTCTTCGTTCCTCCTCTCACCTCTGGTCATGAGTCTGGGTAGTGACCGAAAGGACGAGATCGCGGATACAAGGGCTCGAAATGAGTTTCCTCCGCAGGGCGTCTGGGCGTCTCCCTTAGAGACAGAGTGAGGAGCTCAGTCACACAGGAGGAGCTCGGAGTAGAGCCGCTGCTCCTTCACATTGAGAGGAGCCAGTTGAGGCTCGGGCATCTGTTCCGGATGCCTCCTGGGCGCCTCCCTCGGGAGGTGTTCATGTCCCACCGGGAGGAGGCCCCGGGGAAGACCCAGGACACACTGGAGGGACTCTGTCTCTGGGCTGGCCTGGGAACACCTCGGGGTTCCCCCGGAGGAGCTGGAGGACGTGTGCATGGAAAGGGAAGTCTGGGAGTCCCTGCTTAAACTGCTGCCTCCGCGACCCGGCCCCGGATAAGCGGAAGAAAATGGAATGGAAAAAAAAAAAAACTATCTTTTTTTTTTTTTATATATAAATGTTTAATTTTAAATAATGTAGATAATGTAAATAAATAAATAAATAATGTAAATAAATAAATAAATGTAAATAATTTCAAGCCTCAAATTCAACAGTCAAAATTCTGAGTAAAATTTGCAGTCCAGTCAAAGAGTTTTTAAAGTTTTTTTCAAAGTGAGAAATTCAGCGTTTTTTTTTTTAAATTCTAAATCTGATGAAACAAATATTTTTAATACATTCTTAAACATACGGATGAGTTTAAAGTTCAGATCCATTAGAAAAGTTCCACATTGCAGCTTTACAGTGTTTCTTTCTACATGGTGTTTAAATATTTGTTAGTAGTTTTTATCTGCAGTAACTTTCTGTGTGACACAAAAACACAAACGTGTGAGCGTCTGTCGCAACAAAAACACACACCAAACATTCACCTGACGACTTCACCTGCACCTGCCCTGTCGCTCGTCAGGTGACTTTAAACAGGTTTGGAGAACACAGACGATCAGAGTCTGTGGCTTTGGCGAGACAGAAACACGAGCGGCGATGGCGGCGGCGGCGATGGCGGAGCGTTCTGCTCACATGGTCGTTTAAGCCGGAGCCTGAATCGTCCAATCACATCTCAGTCGCATCACGATTGTCAATGAAATTATCTAAATGTTCTTTATATTTTATATTTATATTTTATGTTTTTTATATTTAAGGAAATTTAGAAAAAAAAAATAAAATTCAAACAAACTCCAGAGGAAAAACGGAGGGAGTCACTGTGATTGACAGAGAAAAACAGACGGAGGAGAGGAAACGAAAGAGGGAGGAGAGGAAACGAAAGAGGGAGGAGAGGAAACGAAAGAGGAGGACAGAGACAACAGTGAATCTTTGGACAGCAGGCGTGCAGTGCCCAGACTCGACACCAGGGGGAGACACTGGGAGGAGACGATCATCAGGTCTCGTCTTTCAGTTCTTCTGTTTTTCTGCACTGACGTGTTTAAAATCGACAGACATCCACACACAGAACCTCCGACCACGCCCCCAGACTCAAGCCACGCCCCCAGACTCAAGCCACGCCCCAGACTCAAGCCACGCCCCCAGACTCAAGCCACGCCCCCACCTCCTCTGGTCCTCCTCGCCACTTTAAAAATGCCAAAGTCTGAAATCCAATGTCTGATTGGTGTTTGACTGTTTGGTGTGAGACGTTTCCAGGTGCGAGACGTTTCCAGGTGCGAGACGTTTCCAGGTGCGAGACGTTTCCAGGTGCGAGACGTTTCCAGGTGCGAGACGTTTCCAGGTGCGAGACGTTTCCAGGTGCGAGACGTTTCCAGGTGCGAGACGTTTGAGATGTTTAAGATGTTCCACAGATCAGATCTTCTCCACAAAATGACAGCCGATCGAACCAGCGACCACGGAGAAACACGAAGACACGAGGGACCAGAGCTGAGCGTCCACACAGCCCCGCCCCCTTTCACACCTGTCCCCGCCCCTCCTCACACGTGCCCGCCCCCTCCCCCTCCGGCGGGGTAGTGGCGCAGCCCGCCGCCGCGCCGCAGCGAGTGGAGGGCGACGGTGCAGCAGCCGCGGAGCAGCGAGCCGAAGTGGTACATGGGCTGAGCGTCTCTGACCGGCCCCCGGCACAACCAGGCCACCGTGGGCACCACCGGGATCGCCACCGCCAGGAGGTCCACCAGGAAGTGCCTGCTCCAGTAGCTCCTCTCCACGGGGCCCGAACACTCTGAAGGTTCTGAAGGTTCTGAAGGTTCTGACGGTTCTGCCCTCTGTGTGCTCCCTGTCTCTGCCCCTGTCTCTGCCCCTGCCTCTGCCCCTGCCTCTGCTCCTGCTCCTGCCTCTGCCCCTGTCTCTCTTGCCTCCTCGTCTCCGTCGATGTCGTCGCGGTCGGAGGCTTTGGCGAGGTTGAGGAGCTCGCCGAGGGGGAACGCGCAGGGCTGTGGTTGGGTCGTTTGTGGTTCGTCGGGTGACAGGACGGAGCAGCTCAGATCTTCTTCCACCTCCAGCTCCGTGGTCCACGTGGTCAGGTCCAGGTCCTCGTGCTGGAGGTCGCCGTGGAACATCTGAGGTTCTTCTGGTTTCTGTTGCTCCCTCTCCTCGTTTACGGGACTGTCGGGCGCTCGCTCCCTCTGCTCCTCCTCTGCTCCTCCTGCTCCTCCCTCTGCTCCTCCCTCTGCTCCTCCCTCTGCTCCTCCTGCTCCTCCCTCTGCTCTCCTCCCTCTGCTCCTCGCCCACGCCCTCCATGGAGCAGGCGACGGTGGCCGACCTCGGGAGCACCAGCCCTGCGCTGACAGATGCCGGGAGGACGGGTTCGGTGGCGACGGTCATGACGGTGGCGGTGGTGAGGGAGTGGGTGGAGCCTAACTCTTCGGCGTCGTCCGAGGTCCAGGTGGAGGTGGGGCTGCAGGCCTGGGACCTGAAGGTTCGGACCTCGGCGATGGTGTCGAGGTCGGAGGCGCCGCTCGCCGGCACGGGGCAGCTCTCCGTCTGGATGCCGGCCTCTCGCAGCGGGTGCAGGAACAGGTGGTGCGCCAGGCACTGGTGACTCACGCAGCTCAGGGCGGGCAGAGAGCAGCGGCACGCGGCCGCCAGGGGGGCGTGGCCGGCGAGGGCGGCGCGGTCGCCTCCGCACAGACCCTCGCAGGTGGAGGAGTGGGGCGGCGCGTGGAGGGGGGCGTGAGACGGGTGGCTGCGGGGGAAGGAGTGGGGGAGGGTCTGGGAGTAGGCGTGCGGGAGGGGGCGGGGCTGTTGGTATGGCGGGGGGAGGGCGTGGGCGACGGACGGGGGCAGGGAGGGGGGCAGCGAGGCGAAGGTCTGGGTGTAGGCGCTGAGGAGGGAGGCGGTCTCCTCGGACAGACACGCCGCCTCCAGCAGCAGCTCGGCGCGGGTGTGGGCGGGCCAGCGGGGTGGGCGGGGCGTTCTCGGCGCCGCAGAAGCCGCTGTCGTCGGTGCCTTGGGCCGACATGGAGCCGAAGTGTTGAGGGGAAGCTCTGGGCGAGCGCCGCCTCCGTCAGTTTGGTGTAGGTGGAGCTGCGGGCGAGCGACCGCGCCGGGGACCCGCCGCACGAGCACGAGGCCCCGCCTCCTCCGGGGAGTGCCGCCGCCGCCGCCGCACCGGGACTCTCCCCTGAGACCGAGGCCGGAGCCGAGCCCCCGGCACGCGGCCTGTACCCGCCCCTGTCGCCCCTGTCGCCCCTGTCGCCGCTCTGGGACAGCAGGAGGAGCGTCTCCAGTTTGTGGTTCTGGACGTTGGAATCCTGAAAAAAAAAAAAAAAAAAGTGTGTCAGGTGTGTGTGTGTGTGTGGGTGTGTGTGTGTCGGTGTGTGTGTCGGGAGTGTGTGTGTCGGTGTGTGTGTGTGGTGTGTCGGGTGTGTGTGTGTGTGTGTCGGGTGTGTGTGTCGGGTGTCGGGTGTGTGTGTGTGTCGGGTGTGTGTGTGTGTGTGTGTCGGTGTGTGTGTGTCGGTGTGTGTCGTGTGGTGTGTGTGTGTGTGTTGTGTGTCGGGTGTGTGTGTCAGGTGTGTGTGTGGTGTGTGTGTGTGTCGGGTGTGTGTGTGTGTGTCGGTGTGTGTGTGTGTGTGTGTGTCGGGTGTGTGTCGGGTGTGTGTGTCGGGTGTGTGTGTGTCCGTGTGTGTGTGTCAGGTGTGTGAGTCGAGTGTGTGTGTCGGGTGTGTGAGTCGGGTGTGTGTGTCGGGTGTGTGTGTCGGGTGTGTGTGTGTCGGGTGTATGTGTGGCGGGTGTATGTGTGTCGGGTGTATGTGTGTCGGGTGTGTGTGTCGGGTGTATGTGTGTGTGTGTGTCGGGTGTGTGTGTGTCGGGTGTGTGTGTGTCGGGTGTGTGTCGTGTGTGTGTGTGTGTCGGTGTGTGTGTGTGTCAGGTGTGTGAGTCGTGTGTGTGTCGGGTGTGTGTGTCGGGTGTGTGTGTGTCGGGTGTGTGTGAGTCGGGTGTGTGTGTGTGGGGTGTGTGAGTCGGGTGTGTGTGTCGGGTGTGTGTGTCGGGTGTATGTGTGTCGGGTGTGTGTGTCGGGTGTGTGTGTCGGGTGTGTGTGTGTTGGTGTGTGAGTCGGTTGTGTGTCGTGTGTGTGTGTCGGGTGTGTGTGTCGGGTGTGTGTGTGGGTGTGTGTGTCGGTGTGTGTGTGTGCGGGTGTGTGTGTGTCGGGTGTATGTGTGTCGGGTGTGTGAGTCAGGTGTGTGTGAGTCGGGTGTGTGTGTGTGTCGGGTGTGTGTGTGTCGGGTGTGTGAGTCAGGTGTGTGTGTCAGGTGTGTGTTTGTCGGGTGTGTGTGTGTCGTGTGTGTGAGTCAGGTGTGTGTGTGTCGGGTGTGTGAGTCAGGTGTGTGTGAGTCAGGGTGTGTGTGTCAGGTGTGTGGGTGTGTGTGTCGGGTGTGTGTGTTGGGTGTGTGTGTGTCGGGTGTGTGAGTAAGGTGTGTGTGTGTCAGGTGTGTGTGTGTCGGGTGTGTGTGTGGTGTGTGGTGTGTGTGTGTGGGTGTGTGTGTGTCGGGTGTGTGTGTGTGGTGTGTGTGGTGTGTGTGTGGGTGTGTGTGTGTGGGTGTGTGGGTGTGTTGTGTGTGTGTGTGTGTGTCGGGTGGTGTGTGTGTGTGTGTGTGTGTCGTGTGTCGGGTGTGTGTGTGTCAGGTGTGTGTGTCAGGTGTGTGTGTGTGTCGGGTGTGTGAGTCAGGTGTGTGTGTGTGTGTGTCGGGTGTGTGTGTGAGGTGTGTGTGTCAGGTGTGTGTGTGTCGTGTGTGTGTGTGTCGGGTGTGTGAGTCAGGTGTGTGTGTCAGGTGTGTGTGTCGGGTGTGTGTGTGTTCAGGTGTGTGTGTGTGGTGTGTGTGTGTGTGTGTGTGTGTGTGTGTCGGGTGTGTGAGTCAGGTGTGTGTGTGTGTCGTGTGTGTGTGAGTCAGGTGTGTGTCGGGTGTGTGTGTCGGTGTGTGTGTGTCGGTGTGTGTGTGTCGTGTGTGTGTGTCGGTGTGTGTGAGTCAGGTGTGTGTGTCAGGTGTGTGTTTGTCGGGTGTGTGTGTGTGTGTGGTGTTGTGTCGGGTGTGTGTGTGTGTCGTGTGTGTGTGTCAGGTGTGTGTGTGTGTGTCAGGTGTGTGTGTGTGTGTGTGGTGTGTGTCAGTGTGTGTCGGGTGTGTGTCAGGTGTGTGTGTGTGTCAGGTGTGTGTGTGTCGGTGTGTGTGTCAGGGTGTGTGTGTCAGGTGTGTGTGTGTCGGGTGTGTGAGTCAGGTGTGTGTGTCAGTGTGTGTGATCAGGTGTGTGAGTCAGGTGTGTGTGTGTCAGGTGTGTGTGTCGGGTGTGTGTGTGTTGTGGTGTGGTGTCGTGTGTGTGTCGGGTGTGTGTGTGTCAGGTGTGTGTCGTGTGTGTGTGTGTGTGTGTGTGTGTGTCAGGTGTGTGTGTGTGTGTGTGGTGTGTGTGGTGGTGTGTGTGGTGTGTGTGTGTGTGTGTGTGTGTGTCGGTGTGTGTGTGTGTCGGGTGTGTATGTGTTGGGTGTGAGTCAGGTGTGTGTGTGTCGGGTGTGTGTGTCGGGTGTGTGTGGGTGTGTGTGTGTGTGTGTGGTGTGTGTGTGTGTGGGTGTGTGTCAGTGTGTGTGTCAGGTGTGTGTGTCAGGTGTGGTGTGTGTCGGGTGTGTGTGTCGTGGGTGTGAGTCAGGTGTGTGTGTGTCGGGTGTGTGTGTGTCGGGTGTGTGTGTGTGGGTGTGTGTGGTGTGTGTGTGTGGTTGTGTGTGTCGGGTGTGTGTGTGGTGTGTGTGTCGGGGGTGTGAGTCAGGTGTGTGTGTCAGGTGTGTGTGTGTCGGTGTGTGTGTGTCGTGTGGTGTGAGTCAGGTGTGTGTGTCGGGTGTGTGTGTGTGTGTTGTGTTGTGTGGTGGTGTGTGTGTTGGTGTGTGTGTGTGTGTGTGTGTGTGTGTTGGTGTGTGTGTGTCGGGGTGTGTGTCGGGGGTGTGAGTCAGGTGTGTGTGTGTGTGTGTGTGTGTGTGTTCGGGTGTGTGTGTGTGTGTGGTGTGTGTCAGGTGTGTGTGTCGGGTGTGTGTGTGTCGGGTGTGTGTGTGTGTGTGTGTGTGTGGTGTGTGTCAGGTGTGTGTGTGTCGGGGGTGTGAGTCAGGTGTGTGTGTGTCAGGTGTGTGTGTGTCGGGTGTGTGTGTCGGTGTGTGTCAGGTGTGTGTGTCGGGTGTGTGTGTGTGTGTGTGGTGTGTGTGTCAGGTGTGTGTGTGTCGGGTGTGTGTGTGTTGGTGTGTGTCAGGTGTGTGTGTGTGTGTGTGTGTGTGTGTGTGTTGTTGGGTGTGTGTCAGGTGTGTGTGTGTCGGGCGTGTGTGTCGGGGTGTGTGAGTCAGGTGTGTGTGTGGTGTGTCGGGTGTGTGTGTGTCG